CGCATCCAAAATAAAAGTTTTTGTTTACATAATATATGTGTGTGTACTGTGTATATTTATTATGTATATATAAACACAAACACATGCATGTATATATTTAAGAAAAAGATGTTATGTTTATATATTATATATATTTATATAAAATATAAGTTATATGAATATAAATATATGCCATGATATATCGCATTACCGAATACCGGCACAAGTCTAATATATACATAATAAATAAACACAGTACACACACATATATTACGTAAACAAAAACTTTTATTTTGGATGCGATTAATCATGATTAATCACTTGACAGCACTAATTTAAATGTTATACTCTTGATATATAGTTCTGTTGCTTACAAATATTCACTAAGATTAATTGCATCAGTTTACAACTGATGTATACAAGGGGCACAAATGTAATAATTGGTCTTATATGCAATAAAGTTGAAGACCTTAAATGTAAAATTCTTACATTTTACACAATTTATTAAGAAGGTTCATATATTAATAAGTTAACCTATGAAGGTGTACCTTAATTTACAGTGCAAACCAGTAAGTATGAGTCAGTAACAAAGACATGAATGAAGCAATATTTTAAAAACTACACTACCATTCAAATTTGGTACCAAGATTTTTTTTATCCTTTATATAAATGTTTTCTTTGAAAGAAAACTTAATGGCACCAAACATTTAACCTGTGGTATAAAAAGGTAATTATTAAAATAATGACACAAAATAAAGTCATGGCATTTTAACGAGTTCAGTTAATACATTTACCTAAAATAATTTTAAACTAAACTAAAAAAGCCATAAAAGCAGTTCCCTTTCTTTTTTACAGTGGGGATTTACAGTCAGTCCATTAAAATATACTTCCAATTATTGTTTGGCATCATGTGATTTGAGGAATTTGCTGAGAGGTCAGGATTTGATACTCACTGTTCCGAGAAGACACTGGGATTCCTGTATGGCTCCATAGCAACCAAGGAATCCAACAAACATCATCACAGCACCGACAGCAATCAAGATGTAGATACCTACAAGAAGAGCATGATGTGTGTTATCATAAAGGAGAATCCAAGATCCCTCAACAAAACTAGGACCAAAGTGTGAGCCATAAAGAGGTGCTAAATTACAGTGAACAACCAAACTATAATCGACCAGTCATCCAGTAATGCTTTTTATATACCGAGGATGCAGTACTGGATCGTAACCAGCAGGAGTCACTGTGTGCTCACTGTGACGGGGCGGCAAGTTTACTTTAGGCAGAAGCAAAACTGCAGAACATTTGGAAGTCATGAGGGGCCAAAATTAACTTCTTGTTTCCATTCCCTCATTCCCATAAAAAAGCCTCAAGTTAACAGCAAATCAGGATTCTTATGTAACACGACGTGCACTGGTAGAAGGAAAAAAGAAAATAAAAAGCTTCTTAGAGAAAGAAAGAAAGAAAGAAAGCTCCCTCTTGTCTCAGTGTTTACATTGCTTAGGCTGAGTGATAACTGCTGTAACCATAGCAACTCAGCAGGCCTTAGGGTGCAGCAGCAGTGTTTGCATGGATGTTCAAATGGCAGCGAATAGAGACAGACAAAGAGAAACAGAAACAGAAAAGAAAACTCTTTCTCTTAAAGTCGGCATGAAATCAAAATTGACTTTATTTACTCTACTAGCGCACATTGCTAGTCTTGATGTGAACAATTAATCCGTGCAAGTTAATCCGCTGAAAAAAATAGTTTGTCTTGGTAATCTTTAATCAAAATCTGATCATTTGCTTCTGCTCTGGAATGGCTTCTCTGAATCCTTCTCTGATGATGTCAGTTTGACGGCTTGGGCAGAATATCCTTTTAAACACACCACCCCAACCGTTAGTTTGCTATGAGTGAGAGACAGAGAGGAGGAGCGCCAAAATAAAACCACGCCCTCTATTCAATATTCCGTTTCAGATGGAAATACGTCACTACACTGAAATAAAGTCGGCAGCAACTTCCGGTTCACGCGGACTTTAAGAAACAATCAGCAACACACACACACACACTGAAATGACTCAGCACACAGAATGAGTGAGCATGAATTATCCTGCAATTGTATCTTTCACTGTGGCAATACCTGTTCACTCTTGCGTGTTAGCTTCTGTATTTTTTTAATTATTTTTTGTACCATTGTTTTTTAAATGTTTTTTTTTTGTTGTCGTTTTGTTTATTAACATCATTAGCTACATTATTTCTTCTCTCCAGCAAAATAAAATAAATTAAAATAAAACAAAACAATATTCCAATGTGGTGAACTGTTCTAAAAGCTGTTTTGTCAGGTTTAATCAATTCACTGATTGATTCTATCTTCTCAATCACTCAGCACAGGAGCAAATGGATGTAAGGCACATACATGATTGATTGGTTGACATGATTGAAAGGTTGGGGGCGTGATCGGCTTGGAATGCATTTTCAAATCCACATTGACTAGTCTACACTGATCGCAGGGTATTTAATGAAAATGCAATTGAAACATCTTAAATGTAAGTGTCAATGCATTTAAGAAAAATAAAATATTTAAATTACCATTTTTGCAACCGTTTTGCATTTTGCTACAATTATCACGTGGTATCACGATGAAAATACAATCTCAAGTGTCCTACCCGCAAGTCTAAATGCATTTAGGAAAAATGGCATTTAAATGATTTAAATTTTGCTACAGTTTTTGCTTGAACAAGTTCTAATCAATTTGGGTAATACAATTTCATTTTAATTTGGCAACTTATAAAGCATTAAAATATGTTTTTAATTTACATATTAAAACTAGTGTAGAAAATGGCAAATGTAAATTATATAATTTAATTTTCACTTTCATTTTGTACTAAATGTTGCACATATGGTATGGGAAAATGTAAATTTAAATACAGAAATACATTGCCATTTTACATATTGCATTGTCATTTTGCATATTACATTTCAAAATTAATTTTGCTACCCATATGCTTCCATACTTAAAGTCCGCATGAAATCAAAATATACTTTGTTAGTGCACAGTACTAGTCTTGTGGTGAACAATTAATCCATAAAGTTAATTCACAGAAAAATTTGTTTGATAAAAAGTTTGATAATTTGATTCCCCTCTAAAATACGTCCAAATATTGAAGTAAAGTTGGTTGCAACTCCTGTTTCACACAGACTTTAAGGAAACAACTGCATGTCAGCACTTTTTAAAGGAACAGAACAGAAAACTCTCTCTCTTAAGAAACAATCAGCCACACACAAATTGAAATCGCTGTGACTCAACACACCGAATATGAGTGAGCACGAATTATCTTCCAACAGCATGCTGTTGGAAGATAATTCGTGCTCACTCATATTCGGTGTGTTGAGTCATAGCGATTTCAATTTGTGTGTGGCTGATTGTCAACTGTTGTCACACCAGTTCACTCTTGCACGTTAGCTTCTGTTTTTCTGCATTTTTACGTATTATTTTTTCATTTGGCATTGTTATTTATTTTTGTTTAGTTTAACATCTTTAGATGCGTTTTCTTTTCTCCAGCAATAAATAAATAAATAAATAAATAATCCAATTTGGTGAACTGTTCTGAAAGCTGTTTTGTCAGGTTTAATCAATTCACTGTTTGAATCAATTCACTGATTCTCTTGTCAGTCACGCAGATACTAGGGCTGGGTATCGATTCAGATATCCCGATTCAATTCGATTAAGCTGAAAACACCGCGAGCGTCATCCGCGCTTTAGTATGTGTAGTGTGCACAAAACAGTGTGCCGCGCCATCTGCCATTCATTCATTCATTGCAGAAATCATGGCGCCTTATGCGTGATATCAAATTCTTCCGCAGATTTATAGTATTACTATAGCATTTCACCTGAGCATTGCGAATCACGCGTATGGCCATGATAAGAGCTGAATGAATGACAGGCTTTCTGTTGTAACATCGCACAAGGTAAATAAGGGTGACATCTAGTGGAGAAGACTAATGATAAGATTCACCTTAATCAGATCTTGTTTTAAATGTGTGCTGAAATAAATCCCGGAAAAGATCGATTTGCGGCTTTTGAGAAGCGATATAAAATCGACATCATTTAAAAAAACGATTAATCGAAAAATCGAAACCCTAGCAGATACTGGACAGAACCTGAGATGTCCCTACCCAAAATCAAACCATCTACAGTGCATAATACCTACTGCATAATGTCTGCATGCTCATCATATTGTACTTGCATTGTAGGCACACTACAAAAAAACTGTTCAGCATCATTGGTTTAAAATCAAATTAATTCCTTGCTCTGGAAGTGTAATGCAAACCCTTCTTTCTTTGTTTCTCCATCTCTTATTCAAATTCAGTTGATCTTATCCTTCTAGCCCCCTCTCTCATGCTCCGGCCTGCACAGTGACACACCCAGGACACTTCAACTTACAAACTAAATATCCAGAGCATAATTCAATTTTGTTTTTAAAACATCTAAATGTCCTGCTGTCATTTAGCGACTGTGCCCATTCCCTTGCAAGAGAATTAAAAAAAAATCAATGCAATGTGGGGTGGTGCGGGAGGGGACTGACCGAGCCCTGATTCCATTTACTTAATTGCGGTGGGTAAGGGGCTAAAGGAACTGCCACCAGGCCATTTCTCAGTGTGACAGGCCTGAATGGAGCACTACGATGTGACTAGCATACTGAACAGCTGCATAATACACACCAGCTCTCCCTCTGTCACTTTCACTTTTTCTTTAAACAAACCACTTTCTTTTTGCTTCTATTAACTAGCTGTGCAGAGTGTGGTAAGTTTGAAACAAGTTTCATGTAGTCTTAAAATAACGGTGAATAATGTGAATAAGTAGAAGAATGTAAGGATATTTCTATGGCCAGGTGCTTCCTGTAGGGAATGAGCATCTTAATGACACATAACACTGAAGAGACCCCCATCTCTCTGTACTGGCCCCCCGGATCGAGGCACCGACTTCACTGTCTGCATCTCTGTCTGAGTGCATGTGAGTCTCGGAAAGAGTATTTAAAAATCACGTATGAGTGCAAAGAAAGTTGCCAAATGTAGCTGCTATTTTCGTTAATTCGAAGAGCAGACATCTGGCTCCTGGCCAGTGAAAGACAGGGAGTGAGAGAGAGAGATCTGGGCGTGTCACATGAGGAAAGGAACAATGGAAAAGAAGCCATTAGCAAAAAAACAAAACAAAAAAGGAGAAGAATGGGAAAAGGAGGACTGTGAACAAAAGAGTATGAGAAAAATGAGACAAAGGTGGTAAGAAAAAGAAGTGAAAGAGTGTACAGGGTAAAAGTGTGGACACCGTTTAGCAATTTTTCAGGGGAAAAAATCTGTCATTTCAATAGGAATCTACGCAATCAGAAATTTTGTGCGACAGCGGAAAATTTCCTAATGCAGATTTTGTAATGGATTTAAGTTGGTCACATGGATTCATCATGTTGACTTCATCCATCACACTATTGGCAATAGACAACTGAACTTTTTTTGCCCGCAAAATTTTTCAACAGGTTTCAAACTGTTTATGCAGATCAAACCATCAGAAAGCTGCTTGGTTTGAAATTGATTTCTGTGTTAACTATGCACAACAGTATTGACAACTGCAATTTTGATGAAATTTCGCTAATGTGACCACACCTTAAGGGTGAAAAAGGAATAGGAAAGTCAGTGCACACGCTGCAAACTTTAAGCACAAACAGATGATGCCAGAGTTCAGAGTTGAACCACAATGGAAGTAACGGTGAGAGGAAAAGCTGCAGCGAGAGAGAGAGCGAGAGAGAGACAGAGCGAGAGAGAGAGAGAGGGAGAGAGAGAGAGAGAGAGAGAGAGAGCGCGAGAGAAAGAGACAGCGAGAGAGAGAGAGAGCGAGAGAGAGCGCGAGAGAAAGAGAGAGCGAGAGAGAGCGAGAGAGAGAGAGCGAGAGAGAGTCAGATCTTACAGCA